TCTTGATGGGATCGCCTTCTGCTATCTATCAACCCTCTGGTTTACTCGAGTATCAGCTCTGCGCTCAGATGCTTTTTGAGGACACCGTGTTATCTTATGGCCTGGCTAACCACACTTAAAACACTGCTCATAAAATAAATAATATTGATCGTGATGTCTTTTTCCACATGAAGTACAAACTAGAGCACTACTCACTGAGAGAGAGAATGCTTGCTCCCAAAAGCTATAGAAACTATCCCAGAGTCATACGATCCAAATCGACTCTACTTCCCACTACCACTACTTTGGCGCGGAGTTTTACATGCGGCGCGGAACCACGCTGTGATTTTTTTTGCGTTTGGGGCGAGGATTGAGCTGCGGTGGGACGCGAAATTGATCGAACGTGGAACACGAACATTACCCCACGACTTGGCTTCTTCACTCGGCATTTTATCCTAATACCCAACCCCGAACATTTCTCGCTCGCTCATGAAAAGTCGAAATCCAGAGATCGAAGATCCCCTCTCGTCCTCGTCTTCGACAGATTGTTGCTTCTCTCCGACACATCTCGCCCCATTCACCCGCTTCCTCCTCTTCTCACGAGCACCTCTTCCTTCTCTTCGAGCCGATATGAACTCTATTTAGCCGATATGAACTCTATTTTTTTAAGGTTTTCTCACGAGTAGCACTTCTCAGAGGTAGAGGTCAGCTTAGCGATAAGCACTCACTAATAATCAAATTGGCAAATGAAGTTGAGATGCATCATATTTATGTTACTAGTCATCTTCTCCAATTTCTGTTTATTTCCTTATTAATGTAATACGTTGTATGCAAGCAGAATCACTCATAGAAATTGGTGATCTTTTTCTTCTTTCTTATAATTTATTTCATAGAAATTTTATATTTAGAACACACACAGCATAATAATTTGATGATTTATATGTATTTGATATCACTTCAAAAATACAATAATATTTAATTATTTTTCACGCATAGATAAGGGGGCACACATGTAAAAAATGAGGTTTAAGTATCAGAAATTTAAGTACATAGGAATTGAGTGGTATGTATGCATGAATAAATTGCTTTATGAATGTTATTAGATACCCTTGGATCATTACCTATAATTTATTTCTCGAATCAATAACATGACTAAATGATTTTTTTTCAAAACAATGTAATTTAATTTCTACTTCTGAATTATTAAATAAGTGTGTTTCACAGTTCTGTTACAAACAAATTTATTGAACATGGGCATAATAGTCAATTTTCCAGAAACAGCTGCCCCACAGCTATTTTCACACAGCTGTAACAAACAGGCAGTCAGCTTCCCTGCAATAGCTTCCTGGGGCAGCGCAACTACAGCTGAAAAGCTGAGAAGCTATAGCTGCTCCAAACAGGGCCTAAATCTTTTCCGGCTCACATCCATATGTTGCTGAGTAGACATTAGATCATTTTTTATCAATCTTGCCCACTCCACTAATTCAGAGAAATCTTTGATCTTGAATGGAACAAGTGAGTGTCTTAAGTTATCTCTGAGTTCTACCAAAAATATATAGCAATTCTCCTTTGAGTAGCACCCATCAATTGAGCCACCAAACTGATAAATTGAGTCATAAAATCTGATAGAAGAGCTCTCACTGTACTCTGTACAACCCCAACCTGACTGGAACTTTGTCCGTCCGTCACATCTTAATCTTGGGGATCCATAATTACTCAATAATTACACCTAACATGCACATGCAATAACTTAATATAACATATATAAAAGAAAAGGTAGATAAGAAAATTAATCATATATTACCCAATACTCTCACACTTATCTACTAATCAATCCTATGACTCTATTTCTTAATTCCTCCAAATTCATTGCTCTGATACCAATAAGTTCTGTCACAACCCAACTCGATGTAATCTATTATATCGACGCGGGTCATCTCGTGTCGAGGTCGTAATAGATAAATTATTACCCAAGATCTATTTAGAATGAATCTTATTTACTTTTTTTTCTTCACGTTTCACATACAGAGCCACTAATATCATCAAATATTGTAAAATAAAGACACTCAAAATTCATTCACATATATAGATATAAAACAAAAAAAATATATACAACAATCATGATTTAATCTCTCTATAATAAAAAAAAACTAAGCATTATCATGACTATAAAAACTAAAGATATCAAATACTGACATACATAAAATCAAGCTCTCACAAGTAATGCAAAAGCCTCTACTCAACCTTGAGTCTTACCCTTCTTTAAAACATAGCACGCGAGTAAAGCAAGGGTGAGCAACCACAGCTCAATATGCTACCCAAAATATATGCAAATTTCAATATTTAAAAAAAATAAACATATATTCAATGTAAATAATTCCAACATGCCAAAATATCATGTGTAGTATCTATCACAATGCAAGTATAAGAAATTGAAACTAGAGTAGACATATATCATAAGTGCGAGAAAATAACATGAAAATCAAATTCAATTCTTTATTTGAATTATTTTAAAATTTTCCATTCGCTTCCTTATACCTCTACTTCCACTTATATCTCAACTTGTTCATATTTCTCCTATGTCCTTTATAACTCCACTTTCACATACACCTCTACTTACTCACATCTCTTCAGGCGTATTAAATACACAGATGAATAATTACCCAGGTAAAACCCTTATAACTCCACTTGATTGCACATAATAACATACAGTCCTACACAACCACTTGTAGATCCCACGTTTTTATTATTTTTGGCACATATTTATGATACAAAAGCCTATAAATGCTAACAGTTTTGGCATAACAAATTTCACAAAATGCAATAAAAAGTGGTACATACTAGTATACACAAGTGATAATGTAATTTGTAAGGAAAAAAATCTACGCTTATCGACAAATAAATTTGCAAAACTACTTTTATGGAATGTCTAGAATAATATTTAAAACTTTTCTTTCAGGTTTAGCGCAATGCCAAAATATACAAAATATTGTATAACAGAAAAACTTGTCGAAAAATAAATATTTTTATGTAGATATGTCCAACACAGTCAAATCTACAACATATAAAAATTTGTGCAGTTAAGAGTTTGTAAATCTCCATAGATCTGATTTTATACAAAATTTCAACAAATAAAATACCAAAAATTTACAAAGAAACAATGAAATTGAAATCTAAAGTAGATTAACAGTAGCTTACCTAGAGCTTGATTTTAGATATGTCAGTATCTTATATCATTATTTTTTATAATCAAGATGATGCGTTGTTTTTTTATGATAAAGAGATTAAACAATGATTGTTGTATAGATTTCTTTTGTTGTGTATCAATATCATCTGAATGAACTTTCGATATCTTTATTATACAATATTTGATGATATTAGTGGCTCTGTACATGAAATTTGAAGAAAAAAAATAAGTAAATAAGATTCCTTCCAAATTGATCTTGGGTAATAATTTATTTTTTATGACACTAGACGACCCGCCTAAATATGACAGGTAACATCGAGTTGGGTTGTGAAAGTTTTTTTTTTAATTTAAATAAAGGATATAAATCTAATTATTAATTTTTTTAAAATAATTATAAAATTTAAGAAATCTCTTTATATCATGAACTATAAAGCTCCAAAAATTATAGAAAATTTTGTCTAAAATAAAATGGTGAAAACAATTTGCAAACTAAACACCAGATGGTTCCAAAAAGCCCACTTGTATAAGGATGTATTAAATCCTTAAGAAAAAAAAAATCCAACAAAAACTTTTTATTCCTTTACTTATAATGCCCTAAAAAAGTTAAAAATATGTGCAAAATATTTGGTGAAGACATTTTATAAATCTAGCATGAAACAAAATCACTAAAAATCAACTAATAAATTGAGCATCAAATAAATTCCAAAAACTTCAAGAAATTCAATAAACATAAAATAAACATGTAAGATTTACCAGATCCCAAGAGACTCTCAAAATCAACTCTCAACAGATACACCGGTATATTACAATAGCAGTCGTTACAACAACATTATCACAATAATTTAACGAAGAATTACCACTCGTAAAACCTATGGTAATGCTTAAACAAAGTATAATATTACATAATAACCAACAAATTAAGTAAGTTTTAATCCAATGGGGAGGCTTATCCACAAAAGATGCTTCATAGGAACTTCTAGAAGATAAATAAACCCCCTACTTATATTTTGACCATGAGGACAATGTTACTCCTCACCATGGGACTATTTGATAGGAACATAGAACTAGATGAGGAACAACACGAGGAAACAGAAACAACCACAATGGATGGCTGATTTGTTGACCATGAGGACAATGTTACCCCTCCACCATGGGAGTATTTGATAGGAACACAGAACTAGATGCTGAGGAACAACATGAGGAAACAGAAACAACCACAATGGATGGCTGATTTCGTCACAAAATAAATTTGTAACCCTTAAAAGAAAGTTGCGCTCCAATATTCAATTAGAATAAGATAGATCTTGTAATGTTTGTCACAAAATGATCAACAAAAAAATGCTCTAATAGAAACAAATCAAGAATTTATTGTAATAAGAAACTAGGTATGTAAATGATAAAAAAAAATCATAAACAAAACATTGTAGCCAGTAGGTTGACTCAAAAAAAAGAAAGAAATGTAGTTTTTTCTTCGATTTTACAAGAGATTTGAGAAAGGTGCTCGAAGCCGCTCGAAGGACCCGAAGCAGAAGAAGATATCCCAAAAGAGCCGTGTGTGAAGCACTTCGGGGAGAGGAGATAACCCTAATATGTTCTCTATAAAGGCTTTCTTTGAGATACAGGACTCTTGCTTCAAGATACAGGACCCTATCATATTGAGTGCTCCTTTTTTTTTCTTCTTCTTTTTCCTCTCATTTGAAAACAAATTCAGCTTCATTCAGGGAGAGGAGATAACCCTCTCAATATAGTTATATTATTTAATAATCTGATTATATTAAAAGATAAAATGTGATGCACAATCAAGCACAAGTAAAAAAAAAAGTAAACATTATCCTAATATAAAATGTACATAACATCATGACATCATTAAAATAGAACAAATACAGGTTTTTTTTGCAAAAAAATAAAAATATGTATTCCACACAACTTACTTGCACAGGCCAGTCCACACAAAATATTTATTTCACATAGCACATACTAATACAATCTCTGGCACATTTATCATTAGCTTCTGTTATGTAGGAACTTACCTGCTTGAGAGGCCAGAGCAACAGACTTAGCGCTTGTGCTGCTCATCAAGAGCTCCTTTTCCGCCCTTCTCCTATGCTGCCTTGCATTCTTTGCTCTCTTGGGAGCCAACTTGGCATCCCTCTCTATGAATGCCAATCTGAACTTCTCCGCAATGCTCATCTCCAACGCCGCGTCTTCCGCGGATGCAATCGGAGTTCTTTGAGCATGGCTAATGCCTGAAACAGCCCATGTTTTGGGATCAATGTCCTCCACAACAACATGATCAAGTGTCACAGACTGCATGGCTTCGACAGGAACTCGAACGCCACGAAAACCGATAGATGCTTGCGGATTGACGCAGATGCGAGGGCATTCAGTTGCCAAGATTATTTTCGAATCCTCGTCAATCTTAGGCTGACAAATTAATGAAGTAACATTAATGAGAATATGAAAGGGAATTAAGATAAGAGCTTGTTTATCCAGTTGTGAAAGAAATGTTAATGTCATAAAAGCATTAATTGCACAGAATACAAATAATTAAAGACTGTTAAAAACAGCAGAAAATTTGACTCAATTTCTAGCTCCTCTTCAAACTCAAAAATCAAATTTCGAGTTTGCTCCCAATCGTTTGAACATTTTTAAATCTGCTCCACAAATATTTATAAAAAATATAATGCACAAAACGAAATAATTGTGAAATAGATATATTTGTATATATAAGCAAAAAACAATATCAAGTCAACTCAAAATCAAATCATTTTGAGTAGGCTCAATTCGAAATGATTTTGATTTCTAGTCGAGTTTATACAGAGCATTTATTTTCTTTTTTCGAAATCGAGTCGAACATAATTTCTTAGAACTCGGCTCTATATCACTGCTATACTTAATCATTGGTGATGTAAAATAAAGTATTTGATCTATCATGCACAGATCATGACAAACAAACAATTTTCTTGCCATTAAATGATACACCTAAACCCTTCCTCAAATAATATTTTCAACAGTATTGTCAATGATCCATCCTCAAGCCAATCTAACCTCAGCACAAAGCCATGCATCAAATCAAACTAATTTAGGCCTAGCTATACCTTAGCTCAATTCAATCTCAAACTAATCCATACCTAGAATATTTAGAGCTTGATCCAAATAAAGAAGTAGGGCATTTACATACATAGCGCAAATTTTTTATGTATTTATAAATCTCACAGCTAAACTTTAATATTTACACAAAAAGCACTCAAACCTTTAATATCACACAAAAATAACACTATTGCCACTTTTAAAAGTCAAATACACATTTTCATGCATATATTTAAAACACCAAAGTGCTATGTATGTAAATATGAAAGTTTAGGTGCAAGATATGTAAGATATGAGATATGTAAATAAATAAGAATTGAGAGCTACATATGTAAATTTCCTAAGAAAAAAGAAAATAAATTAAAATTCTCATCCATTTTCATTATTTTAAGAAATTTTTTAATATGCATGTCTGTTTCTTTTGATACAAACTTTTTACATGCATATATGCAGCTATATTCATGCATAAGTTTCTCTTTGTTTCACCAGTTGCTATATAATACTTACCCATACAAGCCAGCGCAGTGATTGAGCGCCATTGCCAATATCCATGCTCTCCAGCTCCTCCCATGACTCTCCATCCACATTATCTAATTTAGGTTTCAAGATACTCAAGCATCTACGTGCAGTAAATTCACTTCTTGGGCTTCCTCTGCAATCATTGCATATAATCTTTGATCATATCCTGTTATTTAAATATAATCTTAATCAAATTATATGAAACTTAAATTCATCATACAAAAACTATCTTGCTAAAAAGTAGCAACTAGTTTGACTTGAAGAAATTTAGGCAGGACTGTATCACTCTTCTTTCTAATTCTAGCAACAAATCAGTTTTCTAAAACAGAAAGCGGCAATTCCATGTTTTCTGCAATAAAATTACTCTTACCCGCATCTCAATGTTGCTAAGGAACGACAGTGATCAAAGAGATATGTTACACCTGCTACAGTAATTTTGTCGCACCGGCTGCACAAAAAACTAAAAAAAATCAATCAATAACATCAGAATTCCTCATAGAAGGCACAGCAAAAGAAGCTAACAAAGAGTTTCAATGCACTCAAAGAGTTTCAATTCTATAAATCCCCACAAAAAAAAGGGGTGGAAATCGATGCATTTTTTCATGGGGCTGCCTAATCTTTTCTAAAAGCCAAAAGAGGGAATAAAAAACTATTATTAATCGTATATGCATCATAAATTTCTTAAATGACAAATGAGAGCTAGCAGAAATCGAGAGAGGAAAACAAGAAAACATTTTTTTAAGAATAATGAATAACAAAAGTCTGCTCTCAAATGAATTTGCTCGACAACAAACTTAAGAACACTATTGTAGATTTCATAATGAGTGGTGACAGCATAAAAAATCATGATTTTTTTACGATGGTGGTCTTTTTGTATGTGATCAGGCAATTGCACTTGGTATCAGATTGCGCAATTAAGTCTTGCTTGATTATGAAAAGGAACCAAAGTAAACCTTGGTCAAGTTAGGGCCCATGTGATGATTTCAGAGAAGTCATTTTGGTTACTGTCATCGAAGTGGCATGCCTTAATTCAAAGGTTTAATTGTGTATGTTTGCGCAAGATGTGATTGAATAATATAAAGAGATCTGACTCGCACTGTATGGCCGAATGACCGATAATTCAGCCCTGATCAGTATCTGCACAGGATTCGCTCAAGCTCAGATATAAGCCAGGTCAGCTGAAAAGTCAGCAAGGCCAACCAAACAGATTTATTAGTCAATTCGGCACACTAATCAACTCAACAACCTGTAGGCTCTGAAAATTCAAAAAGCTTCTTGGGCTCTCGTCGAGAGCTTAACATAACGAGTCTATTAAGTTTCCAGATTGAATTTTCAGAAGACAGATGAGATAGTATATAAGACACTACCCAAAAATTTCTACCTCATTTTTCTGAGGACTTTAAGATCAAGGGTTTGATATTTCTCATCGGCACAAACCCCTATGGTTAATTAACCGTCCCGATAACGGGAGAGCTCTTTCAATTAAAGCTAATCATTACATGCTAAGTATTTGGATTTAACATATAGTAACAGTAGACTTGAGAATTGAAATTATAAAAATTATCATCAATGTGAGCTCAAAGCAAATGCAGGGGGAGAGGACGACGAACTCGATCAAGAATCCCATGGTTCCAACATCCCAGGTTGTCATGGTCCCTAGACAACTTAGTCAGCGGAGGTTGTCGGCCCAACCTGACCAAAGGATTCTTGTCAGCATTTTTGGGTTGTTTCATTCAAAGAAACATTGTCGACCTGGGGTGAATATTTGCTTAAGGAGACTAATCTAAGTCGATTTTTGATTACAAAGGGCTTTCTACCTTATCAAATATACCCTATGATTCAATAACAAAAGGGCTGACTGCTATTGAGGAACATAATGGCTGCAGTCGTGACCGTAATATAATGGTATCAATTAGCGATAAATCACCTGGTCAGAGAGCTCTGATCGTAACCGATTCTTTGTGGTGTCATTGGCGACAAAACTATGCGGACAAAGGATTCGAGCCACATCCTTACTGGCATAAAATTTATTTTGAGCATGAATTTAGTGATACACTTGATACGACATTGACTCTTTGTAAGCTTGAATCAATATTAGATTTATCCACCTTTACAAACTGTTGCAGAGGGAGGATAGAGTTTTGATTTAAGCATCAAGTGACATAATTTTCATTTGAATATTTATAATTTAAAATATTTTAATTTTATAAATGAACCCCTCTGGTTAAAATTTACGATCAACACAACCATCATAAGGGAAGCGATTGCTTAAACATCATTTAGAGCAATAGTCCTGTCAACTCCAGTCCTTGTAAGGAGGATTGGGCTAGCTCAGTGGAGGCTCAACCCTATCGATTCTCTTCTCCGTAGGGAGGAGGATCGGATTGGCTCAACAGGGGCTCAATCTTGTCGACTCCGGTTCAAGCAAGGAGGATTAGATAGGCCAAAGTGTGAGACTTACAACTTTGCCCTATAGGCGAGGCGGCCCGCTGCCCACGCAGCATTCTCAGGCGTACAAGTTTAAGAACTTGGATGATCCCCAAAGCAAATAAGGGTATTTCATATTTTTTAATTTTGACTGATTTTTACGAAGGTTTTATTGTTATTTGCACTATATACTATTATTGAGTTGCGTGCAGATATTTTCATTTAAGATTTTAGTTTCGCCTTCTTTCTGCTCATGTATTTAGGGTTGCGGATTTGGTGACGAACATTTAAAACTTCACCTCAAGCGCCTTAGTATTGTCTTCTGTCCGCTTTTAGATGTATGTTGTGAATTCGGCAGTGATGAAGACTTCCTAGACTTCCATTGCATATTCGAAATTATGTATCTCTCCCATCCTTAGCTCGCATTTGAGTGTCTAGGTGGGCCCCCTCCGTAGGTTTCATTCGAGCTCGTTGATGAGTAGTCGAGTCCCCTGCGAGTCATGCAGGTTCTATTTATATTTAGTTCTGTCGTTTAAAATAATTTATACAATCATTTTTGTCTTTAACATATAGTTTAGAAGATTTCATTCCATTTCAATTTAGTTGCTCTTTTATGATTGGCATTCCGACCTAAATCCAATAGCTTTTCGACAGCCACCAAACATCGCCCTCCATTGAGGGGCGGCTTCGGGAACGAAGGTTTGCCCACCACGCCAAGAAAGACATTTATGGGTGGCTTGCGCCACGACCCGCCACGCAAAGAAATGCATGCACGAAGCTTCAAGATGTAACAGGATCCACCACTACACTAAGAAAAGTGTGTATGAATGTCACCGTGCAATCTAAGACACCTGCAACATAGTTACCCGGCGCGTCAGGAAAAGTAGGATACGAATAGATTGTGTGGGAGGGCCCAAACATGACACCATGCTCACACAATAACCACAACATCAAATGATTCAAAAAAGAGAAAATACAGAAAAATACATGAAAGACCTAAAGAAAAAAAACCAAAAAGTGTCAAAATACGAAATATCAGGTAGCTAGAGAACGACCCAATTTTGTCTTGCCTCTGCCTCTAGTTATAGGGAAGGAGTCAACTAATAAATTGGTAAGATAAGTGTCATTGTCAGTAGTAGCCAATGTATCATCGCCAATGTATCATCCAATATTCCCGAGCTCGAGTCGGTCTCTATTCTTCTTCTTCCTCTCGGAATAGACCTGTCATTCCTCATTCGAAGATTGACTCACCTGATCAGTAGATTGGTCTAAAGTGTGTCGGACATGTGTAAGTTGTTGAACATTAGAATCAATTACTTGTTGTACCGGCTGATCTTTTATCGGATCGAATGAGCACTCTCGTGTGTCCTGACATGTGAGTCATCTTCAATAATAGTGAGTTTCAATAACAGAGAGTGGTATAAGCACATTTGGATCTCTATCTGTAGTATGGTGTTCTTCATCTGGGACTGCGGTGTTGGAAAAAGGTTCGGGTTGCACCTTCTCAACAGGGATGGTAGGTGGCTGATCTTTAGCGAAATTCGACCTTAGATGAGGATGCAAGCGATAGCAAAGAGTAGAATTGTGGCCAAACATACTACAATGAGAGCAATAAGAAGGATGTGGTTCTATTTCAACCTTTTGTCAATACTCGTTGTGAGTGGTGTTAATCTATATCTCATCCGGAGCTAATTGAGTGATATCTCTCTCAACTAACACACAAACCACAGAGGGTCTGGTAACAGCAAGCGTAGGACTATAAACCTTGAGAGGCTTACCGTAAGTAGTTGCTAAAGAGTAGAGAATTTTCAAGTTGAACAAATGTAATTTTAATCCCAGAAACTTTATACAAATATGAATGATAGAGGACTCTGCTTTTGAATCAAAATCGACAGTTCACTTGAGAATTTTCATAAAACAGTTGTCAATCTTGATAACTTTTCGAGAAAAAATGCGAGTGTAATCGACATCGTGAGATAACTAAATAAGTATATGTCGACCGTCAAGTAAGCCAATATTCTAACTGCTCAATAGTTTCATAGTATCAAACTCTTTTCGAATGATCTTTAGTTTTAGGTGATCATAAAGGAATTTCCCCACTAGAGCAAAACGCCAAGAGACGCGAGAGTACTGATTTCAACCTCAGTGAGAATAAGAGCATGCTTCCCATTTTTTTTGCCAAGTTTTTTAATAAAAGTGTGATCACCACCACCTTCAAGAGCATCGTGAAAAGATTGAGGAACATTGCAGGGCTTGTCAATATGAAAACCAAGCTCTGAACATGAAAGAGGAGCACGAGTAGAAACACGAGTAGGAATAGAAAAATCGTCGGCAATGCATTGGCATAGAAATGCATCGTCGAGGCCATCTCCAAAATGGCCAGACGAGCTGATAGAAAAGGCGAGCAGAGGAAATTTTTGTCGGGCAGGGCGACAGAAACTCGTCGAGTACAGAGACCTTCTCTCGGGCAGGGCGACACAGGCGATGTCGAGTACGGGAACTTTCTGTCGGCAAGGCGAAGGCATCGTCGAGTACAAGGACGACGGAAGCCGCGACCTAGCGAGGAAGCGTCGTCGATTGCATGTGTTAAGAAAAGAAGCGAGTGAAACCCTACGTCGTCAAAGCAGACGAAGCGTAGAGGTTGACGAAACGACGAAACTGATAGCGTGAAACTCTTTGTCGTCGAGCACGACAAAGCCGGTGGAGTGAAGCCGAGAGGTTCAACGCAGAGAATCACCATCAGGCGAAACCCTAGCAGAGCTATACATATATATATATATAAACTTTGCCCTATAA